GGTGGTTCAAATGCACCAGCTGCTCCTTGGAGAGTCTATAGAGTTGCTGTGAGTCAGAACTGACTCAATGGCTCTTAACAACAACAACAATCAAATATTTCCACCACTAGTCTGTCCGTTTGTCATATTGTGGTCGTTTACATGTTGTGTTCATGTGGCATAGCTTACATGAAGCTATGCCACTGGTATTGCAAACACCATCAGGGTCATGATAAGTGAAGAAAATATTGAAGTTGTCAAAGATTTCATTAAGTGACATTGCACTGGGCAAATCTGCTGCAAAAGAAAAATGTTAGAAAGCAAAATGGCACTTTGAGGACAAAGACACTCCTGACCATCATGTTTTAATCACCTTGTATTCATGTGCAAGCTGGACAGTGTGTGAGGAAGCCTGGAGAAAAATCAATGCCTTTGAGTTAAATGTTGGTGAAGAACGCTGAACACGCCATAGGCTGCCAAAAAAAAATGAACAAAATGTGTCTTGGGAGAAGTACAGCTGAAATGCTTCTTAGAAGTCAGGATTGTGAGACTGCATTTTTCCTACTTCAGACACGTTATCAGGAGGAAGCAGTCTCTGGGTACGGACATCATGCTTTGATAAAGTAAAGAGTCATCTGAAAGGAGGAAGACCCTCAATGACATTGGTTGTAACAATGAACTCAAACGTGACAGCGATTGTGAAATGGCACAGGACCAGGCAGTATTTTGTTCTGTTGTGAATAAGGTCACTGTGAATCAGAACTGACTCAACAGCACCTAACAAGGACAATGACATACCCAGCATTAATAATGCTTAATGCCTGTTTGAACCGCAAGGTCAGTGGTTCAACTCACCAGCTGATCCTCGGAAACCTTAGAAGGGGGGGCTGCTAAGGATTGTAATTGACTCGACAGCACTCAACAACAACAATGTCCTATTGTTAATTAAATCTATATAATCAATGAAAGATGTAGTGGGATTTTTTCTTCCTGAACCCCAGTAGGCTACTTTTTTTGCTTTTTCAGAATTACTTTATTTTGCAAGGCAGCCTTCATAAACATTTCTGAATATCATAATTCACCATTATAGAGGTCACATTATTATAGAAAATAGAATTATTAAGATGGACTCAAAGGTCAGACTGCTCTGTATTAAACATGCTCGGTAGACTATCTTGTGTATTCCACTTTGAAGACAACTAATCCAGGAAGCTGTATGTAATCCACGAGTAAAGCTGGGAGGTGAACCAGGTATAGATCATGGTGGTCTCATCAAAGGGAGATGGGGTGGCCAGCTGGAAGTAAAGAAAAAGCTCAATGTGGGCATCTGATTGGTTCTAGGAGAGAAAGCAGATGCTGCTGCTACCACCTGCCACGGAGTCGGTTCCAACCCTGTAAAGGATTTGTGAGGCTGTAACGGAGCTCTGAAAGCGTAGTGGTTACGAGTCAGCCTGCTAACCTCAAGGTCAATTTTTGAAACTACCAGCTGTTCCATGGGAGAAAGATGAGGCTTTCTGCTCCCATAATGATACAGCCTTGGAAATCATACGCAGGGTTGTCAGAACTGAGTCCATACCAACAACAACAACAAAGCTTTTTGGGTACAGACCTTTCTCCCACAGAGCAGCTGGTAGATTCGAACTACTGACTTTGCAGTTAGCAGTCTAATGCATAAACCACTATGCTACCAAGGTTCCTGAGAAAGGAGATTAATGAATCCAAAGTTTTGTTTGTAAGAGATAGGAAAAAGTAACTGGGAAATGGTGATATTCTGGGAGAAGAAAGGCAGTTAGGATGACAAAATCAGGTTGGGGTTGGAGATGCGTGTGATCTTCTGTTTTGGCTATGTCACGTAAGAATGACTGAAAGAAACAATAGAAAATGACCAGTAATGGAGAGAGAGCAGCTGAGGACTCTAAACTCATGGCAAGAGAATGGCTGTGTGCTGGTGGCCAGGAGACTGGCTTGCAAAATGTGCCCCCCTGGGCTGTTTAAATGATTAATATGTTCCTGTGTGTTTGCGTGTACACCAAATCAAAAAAACAAAGTGGGAATAACAGGCAAATACTGTTAATGGATGGAGCATGCAAGGGTTTGTAATCATTGCAGTGAAACAAAATACAATTGGTTCAGTGCACAACCATGTTCTGCCATGTAAACTATCACTCAATTCACAATAAAAGCTCTATTTAAAAAAAAAGAAGAAGAAAATGGCCAGCAGACCCTAGAAGACAAACCACTCTCCTCTCAAGTATCGTAGGGACTGTATGGATCTGACCCCTGGGCGAGAGTCCAGCCCCAAGTTCTGTACAGTAACCTTCCTCCTGTCCTTCAGACCTTTCCCGTGCAGGGCTGTACAACACAGATGAAAGGTGCCCAGCCTCTCTCCAGCTGTGGCCCAAAGTGAGGCCTCTCCACCACCCTCGCTCAATCAAATGTGAGGGACTAGGAAGAGGCAAGCTGGGAATACCAGTGAAAGAAATGTAAGGTAGACCACCTAGGTGACTTTCTCAATGGACCCTGATCCAATCATCCACAAAGCCCACGTGAATGCCCTACAGAGGGAGATGTGTCCAAGAGGATGATCCCTCTTGGGATGGTCATAAACTTCTCTCCCTCACCTGTCCACCTGATTTGCTCAAGGAACTGCTCAAAGGGAGCCCTGGGCCAGAGATGGATGCTCCATGTGGTTTCACCAGTGTATGTGGTCCACCTCTAGCTGCACTACTTCCAGGTAGATCCTTCTTCAAGTTGACATCTGTACTTGTGAAGGCTTGGTACCAGGCTTGGAGACAGCCCAGGGATGAGCATCTATAATGTGTCTTCTTGTCTCTTGGGCTGAAGTACACCCTCATAGATAGTATAAATGCCAGGGCTTCAGGTAAGAAGGGCAACAGGGAAAGGACTACATGGGAGGGGTGACATAGTGCTAGTGACCCAAGTGTTTGGGGGTACCGTAATCTAGGTAGATACAGGGTCATGAACCACCACACAAGAATGATTTCTTGTCCCTTCAGAATTTAGTCCAAGCTCTCTCTCTTTCGTCGATTGCTGCCTTCTTCCCCTTCCTTTCCTGGGTCCAGCCATACTGAAGTTCCCTCCAAATCCCAAACATAGCAGTCATTTTCCAACCCCCAATTAGCCTGCGGAGTCCTGGTGTGGCGCTGTGGGTTAATGCACTGGACTGCAAAGTCGGTATGAACGGCAAGGTCAGAGGTTCAAGCTCACCAGCTCCTCCGAAACCCTATACAGGGTCACTAGGGGTTGGAACCGACTCAACAGCACTTAACAACAACAATAACAACAAATTTGCCTACACCATTCTTCCTCTCTGATTCAGTACACTCAGAGTCTACCCAAGATACAAGGGTTTTGTAAACCTCACTGAATTCTCCAATGTATCTTTGCAAATTTCCTCCACCTTTAGGATGAGGAACTGAGCTTCTGAGGGCTTAAGTACTTTGGTTCTTTTTCAACAGGCATTTTTTTCAGAGCCACTGATGTATCTAAAGTGGCAAGTCTCAGCTTCTGAGGACAGACACGGGGTGATGATCAAGGAGGGAGACTGGCATGGAAGACTGTCAATGGTGAAATCACCCTTTCCCCCCAATCTGCCATAACACAATCACTCCCCTGGTGGGCAAGGTCACAGAGTTGGGTCAAGGTACCGCCTGCTTGGTCGGATCCCAAGTAGCTTGATCCCAAGCAGGGTCCTCACCCCCATGGGTGACAGTCTCCAAGATCCATAATAAGTCTGGCATGGGTCTGAATGCACGTTCCTGCACCCACCCCGCCGCGCAAATCTCTCAAGCAACCTCCGACGCTGCGCTGTGCGCCTTCCCGCTGCCTGGCCCCCAGGTCAGGCTGGGCTGGTGTCCAAAACCCAATGAGGGCCTTTCCGCCTTTATCTGCCAGGCTCATTGATCTCCAAGGTCTCCGGCAGCCCAACGCCCTCATCGTCCCAGCCCCAGCATCTCCGCACCCTGGTTTTTGTTGTCCCCAAACCCTCGCCTTCCGCTTGCCCTCATCTCCAAGCGTCTGCGCCGCTGACTGCATGTTTCCAGCCCCTAGTCCCCGCGACCACGCCCCTGCCATCTCATCCCAGCGTCTTCATCGTCTCCTCTGCCCCACACACAATGTAGTTGTGTTTCCCAGATCCCGGCTTCTCCGACACCCCTGCGCCCCGGATTTCCCATAGCTCTATGTCTTCGCCGACTCCCACGCCCCCAAACTCCAGTTGTACCACCGGGCCCCACCCGTTTCCCTGGGTCACGCAGTCCCTGCTTCTCTGTTGTCCCCAGGCCCCTCGGTGTTCTCACATCCCTGAAGTTCCCCACCAAGGGCACCAGGTCTCCACCATCCCTGTGCCTCAAAATCCCAGTTTCTCAGGGTCCTCGTCATCCCCACGCCCCCACCTTCTGGGTGTATCTCCATGCCCCATAGTCTCCCTGGGTCGTGCCGTCTGTCTCCTTGTCTCCGTTATCCCCACGCCCCCCACCCCCGGTGTCCTCGCGTCCCGGACATGCCGCCCCTCAGCCCAGCCGCCAAGCCCAGACCTCCACTATCCCTGCACCCTATAACCCTGGAGCCCAGCTTCCCCGCTTATTGCCATCCCAGATTCCTTGCCATTCCTGTGACCTGGACCCTAGTCATTCCCCGCGTCCCCGCTCCCCCAGCCTCCAAGTACACCCTCAACTCCATCTTCTTCTTGGGTCAAGCTGTGTCTCCGATGTCCCTACGCCCCCATGTCCTCACGTCCTCCTGGTCTCCCCATCCCGGGCCCCGACCCTCCAGCATCCCTGAGCCCCGGAACCCTGCCTCCCGCTCCTCGCCGACTTCCCAGAGCCCCGGGCGTCTCGGCGGTCCCCGCGGTCCCCGGCCCCCGGGTGGCGCCCCGCTGGCCCCTGGGCCCCCCAGCGTCCCCGCGTCCCCGCGCCCGCTGACGCCATGACGCCGCGGCGGAGGGAGGGGCGAGGCGAGGCTGGAGCAGGCTGCGGGGCCGCGGCAGTGCGACGCGGCCGATGGACATGGGCACCCAGGGCTCGGGGCGCAAGCGGCTCCCCAACAGGGAGCGGCTGTCGGCGGAGGACGATGCGCTGAACCAGATCGCGCGCGAGGTGAGCCCGCTAGCGCGCCACGGCCGCAGGCGTTGGTACGCGTGTGTCAGTCTGTCCCTCCACTGGGGCTGCGGACCCGGAGCGCTGGGCCCGGCCCGTGGTCTCCCGGGTCCTAGGCCAAGGGACAGGCCCGCGACGCTGCCCCCGCCCCAATTCCAGCCCTGGTTGGCAGCCGCCACCACAGCTGCGGGGAACACTGCGGGTGGGGGGCCGCTCCAGTGTGGTGGGGGCAGAGCTCCCAGCTGGTGCCGCGTCGTGGGCGTGGGGAGACAGGGTGGGAGGCCGGACTTGGAGGCCGTGGACGCCCCCTGGGCCCACATGGCTAAGCCAAAATCGCCCAGGGCCTGTCGCCACTATTGTAGATTGTAATGGAAAGCGCAGCTTGCGGGGTGGACTTGGGGATGGTAGGGACACTGCGAATCAATCCTCTTTTTGGACAGAACCTGAAATTGGTCAGTTCAGAGATGGCTTTCCCCAAAGTTTTCGGACGGAGTTTATAATACAGAGCGCAGCAGTGAGGCGTGTGCTCCGTGGGTCCAGGGGCTGGGGAAGTGGCGGTTTCCTCCCACGTGGATTCCACGTTGAGGTGCACTAACTTAAGTGGCCGGGTCAAAGATGGAGAGCAGCTGCAGCGTCCAGAAGGGGAGAGATTGGGAACCCCAGGTGGGAAGGAGACTTAATTTGTCCTGATGTGCCCGCTGTGTCTTTGGAGTTGTGTGTCCCGTGTATAAATCATGTATTCAAAAAATTATCTATATACACAGTATTTTAATATTCATTCTATGTATGTTAAATTATTCTCATATGGAAATATTCCAAGTGTTCGAATTTTCTGTGTATGTAACATCATTCTCATATGGAAATGCTTCCAAGATTTATATAGGCGTATTTGGTAAAGGGAGTCCTGGTGTGGCGCTGTAGGTTAATCCGCCAGACTGCAAAGCCATTTGAACTGCAAGGTCAGTGGTTCAAGCTCACCAGTCGCTCCTCGGAAACCCTATACAGGGAGGGTCACTATGAGTCGGAACCAACTCGACAGCACTTAACAACAACAATTTGGTAAAGGAGCCCTGGTGGTGCAAGGGTTAAATGCTCCGTTGCTCACCCAAAGATTAGAAAACCACCCCTGGGCTCTGCGGAAGAAAGACCTGGCAGTCCGGACCCATGAAGATTGGTGGTGGTGCTAGTGGTGTGCCACGCAGCGGATTCTGACCCACTGCGACCCTGCACAGGCTTCTGAAGCTGTAAATCTTTACGGAAGCACAAAGCCTCATCTTTCTCCCAAGGAACCTCAGGTCGTTTCCAGCTGCTGACCTTGAGCTTAGCAGCCCAACTCGTAACCACTACACTACCAGTGCTCCTTCCCATGAAGATTACAGCCAGAAAATGCTGTGGAACTGTTCTACTCTATTACAGAGGTGTTGTTGTTGTTGTTGTTGTTGTTGTTGTTAGGTGCCATGGGGTCAGTACCAACTCATAGCGACCTTACACACAGCAGAACGAAATACTGCCCAATCCTGGGCCAACCTCGCTATTGTTGCCACGCTTGAGCCCACTGATGCTGCCACTTGGCCAATCCATCTTGCTGGGGTCTTCCTCTTTTTCTCTGACCCTCACCCTACCAAACATGAGATCCTTCTCCAGCAATTGGTCCCTCCTGAGAACATGTCCAAAGTATGAGAGATGAAGTTTGGCCATCCTGGCCTCCAAGGAGCACTCTGGCTGCACTTCTTCCAAAACAGATCTATTGGTTCTTTTGGCAGCCCATGGCACTTTCAGTATTCTCCTCCAACACCACAACTCAAAAGGTTATAGTGAGTCAAAATCACCTTGATAGCAGCTAATATCAACAACAGTATCTGATTCCATCAGCTGATCTTCAGTGGGATCTAATGGAGCCATGGTGTGGGTGAACATAACCACAAGGTTGTTGTTAACAGCTACAAGGTAGGTCCAAACCCACCAGCCACTCCATACAGGGTCCCTGTGAGTTGGAAGTGACTCGACGGCACTTAAAAACGGTGGAGTCCTGCTGTGGTACTGTAGGCTGTAGCACTGGACTGCTCACCACAAGGTTGGTGGTTCAAATCCAGCCACTCCTCAAACCCTAGAGAGGGTCGCTATGCGTCAAAACTGATTCAATGGCATGTCACAACAACAGCGTAGAGTCAATCACGGCAATGATTGTCATGCACAGAACCAGGCGCGCTTCATTCTATTGTACATACGGGCTTGCTATGGTCTGGAACCAACTCAGTAGCCCCTGACTCCAACAGCTCTATAACTAGAGTCCATGGGTGTTGCAGATGGAGAACCCACTCCCTGTTCACCCAACGACTGAATGTTCGAGTCCACCCAGAAGTGCTTCAGAAGAAAGGACTGGTGACCTGTTTCTGAAGAAACCAGCCACTGCAGGGAGCTCAATTCTTCTCTGACACAGGGACAGCTGGTTTGGGTTTGGAGTTTTCACTTTGTAACAGGTCTAAGGTGTTTTCAGTTATAAGTACCTGACTTTGCTTTCATGGCCACGAGCCAATCAATCAATATTTATTAACTCTGATAGCGTAGTAGTTTCCAGTTGGGCTGCTAACCTCAAGGTCAGCAGTTCAAAACTACCGGTCATTTGCAGGAGAAAGATAAGGCTTTCTGCACCCGTAAAGATTTATAGCCTTGGAAACTCTACACAGGGCATTATGAGTTGGAACCAACTCCACGACACATAACCACCACCACCACTGAATGAATAGCCACTGCCCCCAAAATAACCCATTACCTTCAAATGGATTTCAGCTCCTAGGGACCCTATAGGACAAAGCAGAATTGTTCCTGAGGATTTCTTTCAGGGGCACACAGCTCCATCTTTCAGCCCCAGAGTGGCTGGTGGGTTTGAACCACCAAACTTGCAGTGAGCAACCCAATGCCTAACCCGCAGTGCAACCAGGGCTCCTTATTGAATTAATAAAGATTTTCGTTTCTCTTTGTATATGTAAGAAAATGGCTTTCCAGGTAAACTCCTATTCATCCCTGAAAGCCCATGGCTCTGCTCTCCCACTTTGCTCTCGGCCACCATTTGGCTCCTCTATCTATCTCCCTGTGCCTGGTGAGGTAGTCGTCTTGCTTCAGCATTATTCGTCTACCTGTGGTGACTCCCGGACAGGTAACATCTCATTCTGCCCTGTGTCCCCAGAGTTTGGAGGTTGTATAGCTTGAAGACAGTTCCCTGGTAGACTATCAGTTATGTATGGCCATAAAGCAGTGTAGTGGTTACGAGTCAGGTTGCTAACCTCAAGGTCAGCAGTTTGAAACTACTAGCTGATCTGTAGGAGAAAGATGAAGCTTCCTGCTCCTATAAAGATTTACAACCTCAGAAACCCTATGCAGGTTGCTATGAGTCAGAACCAACTCCATGGCATATAACCACCACCACCATAAAGACCAAACCAGTGTTCTCATGCAGACCAGCGGTAAGTGACCAAGCATGGCCAGGTCAGTGGTGACCAGCGAGGAATGAGAAAAATGAAAACGCTCTCCAAGTCCACCTCTTCTCATCTGTTGGCTTTGATAAAAATAGACCCAACATAAGGGCTCCGGAATTTGCCCTGGGCTGATAGCCCTTGAGGTCCTGCTGAGCTGGGACCTGTCTTGCCTCCACCCAGGGGACTCCGGGTAGCAGTTACAAAGATAGAATCTGAAGTCAGACCTGGGGTTTGGAACAACACAGGTGCTCACCAGCTGTCTGATCCCAGAGAAGGAGGTTACCCAACCCCATCTGAGCCTTCCGTTCCTCATCTCTAAAATGGGGGTGACTAAATCCCCATTGACAGTCAGGAGTACAGATGAGCCATATGTACATGACATGGATAATTAGGCTTTCGGTTAATGGACTGGAGCTTCGATGCTCTCGAAGGATGACTTGTGGAAGCCTAAGCAACAGGCTTCTATCAGAGAGGACAAGCTGCCTGGAGGACAGGACCACAGAGGGACAGGCTGACCCCCCACCCACCCCCACCCCGTCAGCTCACCCTGGCCTTTGGTTCCTTTCCTCCCTGGAGCTTCAGAGGTTCACCTGCTTTGTGGATGCCAATTGGCCACAGCACTCCCGACCTGTCCCTCCAGGTGGCGCTCTCGAGAGCAGGGAGTCTCCTACCGGAGAACCACCGCTAGCCCTCCTGATCCCAACACTGGAACCAGAAGATTGACTGGGGAGAGGGGAGGGCGGTGGGTCTGCCTTGCACCAATCAGGTCTGTCCTGGAACTGGGGCGTGGCCTCCCCTGGAGCCCTCGGTGAGGTGTAGGGAGTAAAGATTGGGCACCCTTCAGAAAGTGGGAAGGTCAGATGTCCACGGGAGTGCTCCCTAAGGGTGTCTGAGAATTCAGAGGAGGGATAGAGAGGTCTGAGTCACAGGCAGGGAACGAGCTGGTCTGTCCCCCAGACCCTAACATGCATGGGGGAGAGTGGAGTGTTGTACAGCATCTTCAGAACAGCTTAACCATTCTTAAAGGTCCTGGGGTGGGGGAGGGGAGTTTGCATTCCACTGCTAACATCAGCAGTTCAAACCCAGCCCATCTGAGGGAGGAAAAGCCTGGCAAACTGATTCCGTACAGTTGACAGCCAAGAAAACTCCATGGAACGGTTCTAGTGTCGCCTAGGGTCACCATGGTTGGAATCCATTCAACAGCAATGGGATCAGTTTGGGTGTGGACTTCTGTGGGCTGGAGTAGGAAATCCAACCCAAAAACCAAACCACTGCAGTGGACCCAGCTCTGACTCATGGCCACCCTATAAATAGGACAAAGTAGGACTGCTCCCGAGGGCTTCGGGGACTGTGAGTCTTACAGGCAAGCCTCATCTCTTCCCCATGGAGCAACTGGGGAAGTGAACCGCCAACCTTGAGGTTAGCAGCCCAGCATGTAACCCTCTGCACCACCAGGCTCCTCGGAATAGGAAGTAGCAAAGATGAGATGTTTTCAATGATACATCAATATTCCTGAAGTTACGT